ATATGCACACCCACCCCTCCTTCTGGGAGTAACCAATAGAAGTCAGAAAACAACTTTTAATTCACATGGAAAGGGTGGGATCTGGCCTAACAGGCAGCGCGTCCTTGGCTTCTCCACGAAATGAAATATTTCACAACATCTATTTTAATTGAAAAAACCCCAACAATGAATCCACCCTATGCTATTGTACATTAATGGCAACTTCAGGGAAGAGGAGATTCATACATGAACTGTTTGTACAAGTATTGGTACTGTCTTATTTGGAGAGGTGAAGAAACTCCCCCCTCCAACAGCTGCCAAGTTTTTTATGGTGGGCAGGGAAGTGGTGAAGGCCTGGCTTCTCTTTAAACCTCCACGACATCTGCCTGTGCTACCCTGCTTCTGTTCAGCCCTCAGATGGCCCCAGCTGCCCCTCACTCACAAGTTGTTAATGAGAAAGTCAGAAAAGACAATTTACCCAGCCACCCTAACCAATCTTCTGCCTGCACCATGCACCAACATTCCAAGTGTCCAGTGTTGCAGGTGATGGATCTGTTGGGAAAGGCAGCAGGTGGAGTGGCTAAAGGGATGCATTATTCCGCACAGGGGCGGTTATTCATGTATTCAAGTTTTTATGCTGAGAACTGTACAGTGCTTTATGAAACACAGGTAGAGTCACAGTCACTTAGGTTTAAAACACAGACATTCTAACAAAGCACAAACAACTAACTCCTCACCATGCCTTTGATCTGTTCCTTAGTCTGCACTGTGCATGAACGCTAAGCAGAGGACTGAACTGAGCAGCATTCATAACAGAAACCATTATAAAGTGAGGGTAAAAAAGCAGTAGTTAAAAATTGAGAGAACTGGAAGCTTTCCTTTTGGTACCTGTGTCAACACTGAGATGCCCTAATGAATTTCCTCCAGCACCTGGAAGAATATATTTCCCTTTGTTTGTTTGTCTTATTTCTGCTAAACATTCAAGAAGAAATAGATTCAGAAGACGCAACCCATGTACTATGGAATGCGTTTACTAATATCTATCCCAACCTGGACGGTTAAAATAGTTCTGAATATAAGTTTGTTTGCAGAGTTTATTTTTTAAATTTCACTACGAATTAGCCAACTCTATGTGGTGAACTCATTTTAAGAAAATTAAAATGTTTATCTGGCTAAAACAACTTGTAAATGAACCCATTTTTTCCTCCACCTTTTCTTGTTGCATTTCATGCATTGTAGACCCTAGCAATGATATTAGTTCTAGTGTGGGAAAATATTATAATTGAGATCTGCTAAGTTATTTGCAGACTTCAAGTTTTTCTTTACACTGTGCTGACGTTTAGTACAGCCCCGGTGAGGAAAACAATGCCACCATTCACATCTCTAGACGTAGATTTCAATCGACTTAAGCGGGCACAATGAAACTTGGTCATTCGCTGGTTACCCATATTGTGTTCTCAAATTTTCTCTCAGCAAAAGTATAATGACTCAGTATTGTATGGTTCCATAGACAAGGACTCAGAACAAGAGACACTAGTTTTGTCTGACGGTGTGAGAAAGTAGTGAAGGGATCTTTTCTTCCAGATGGTGTTAAATTCAGCTGCCTTTTTAACATTGGCCTTGCACAGCAATGTGCTGCTCCCTTTCCACAAAGAACAAGCCCGGGTCCCTGCTAGTTAACATGCATACTCACGCAACCTGCAACTACACTCCAACTGTTTTACAATGCAGTGGTATGCTAAATAAACTTCCAGTGATAAAACTAGCTTTGAGAGAACTGCCCCACTGATAATTAAACGTTTTCTCTTGTTTTGGGGGATTTTTTTTATGTTACAGAAAACTTCATTGGTTTTTTGTTTGATTTTTTTCCCCCACAAATTTTAAGGGAACAGCACCTAACAGATAGATAATCCTAGGAAAGGATTACTTTTCCGAGTTGCTTGGTGCATGAGCCTCTTAAAGCATGGTGGAGGGCCTGCTACCACATTTCGAAATGTTCTCTTTCCCCAAGTCAGAAGCTAGCTGTACCAGAAAAAAGATGTAGCGAAATGAGGCGCTTTGCTCCTAAAGAAGTGAAGTAGTAATAATAGTAATAACAGCCAGTCGTATTTTATTGATTGATAACGTAACATTAATAAGGTACAAAACAATTTAAGGTGTCAATGGCCAACACGCGATTACATGCTGCTGTTTTTCTAGGGTGTTTTCCTTCACAAATTTACACTGGAGACCAAGACACAAGCAGCAGCTTAAGTAAATTGACCCTTTTCACGACTAAGTAAACAATGAGCTTCCCCAGAAAACAGCTTATCGCCTTAATTGAAGCTATTTGAGAAAGAAAATCGCGCACTTTGTCATGTAAATGTTAATTGTAGTAGACAAAATGGCTCTTGGTAAATAGCACCCCCAGACAAGCAGTAAATGAGAGGCGTGCGGGCACTCGGCAGTGAAAGGCTGGTGGCACAAACACGGTTCCGATGTAAATAAACACTGCTCCCCTCTCCGGGCTCTGCAGCAATAAAACTCTGGCACGCGTAGAGCAGCCAAAACGGAGGTTTAACCTCAAACACAGCCTTGCCGGGGCCCCGGACGGCGCTGCCGGCAGCCACGAGGCGGGACTCTCCGACGAAACTGAGGTTAACAGCTACGGGGAGGACGGGATAACTTTTCGGGCCAAATTCTTTGTTTTAGATAGACAGCAAGCCTGCTGCTTCCAGGACACCCTGATCCATCCCTCTCACGTTGTGTGGCGTGATGAAGAATATTCCCACCATAAGCCCCAAACCAATTTTTTATATAACTAGTTCAAGAGCAAAGTAGAAATACAAAAGAAAATTAAATAACAATAAAAAGCGGAGCAGAGAGTGTTACTGCGGACGGGTGGAGACCACTGAGCCCCGTTCTGATCTTATCTTATTTCTGATCTTATTTTAATCTGCCGTGGAGAACGTTCGGTTTCTAACACAGTATCACATGCCAGCGTGCCTCCGGGAAGAGGCTTAGGTCAAGCCCAGAGGAAATATGTTACCCTAAACAATTAAACCTCCTCGATTTCACTGCACGAGGCGCCTAAGTCGCAGTAATTACAAAGATGAATAGCACCCGAACTAATATTTGTTAAAAATACGAGGATCTTCGCAAAACCGACGTCTGCCTTTCCCTTCCTCCACTGGGACCAAAGCCCGCAACTCCCACCCCGCTCCCTCAGCGGGAGAATGGCGCAAGTTCCGCCAGGGCTCAGGTTCCGCCCTTCTTCCGCGGCGGGGGGCGGAGGAAGCCGGGACGTCCACTCTCCTGGCACTTCTCGGATGGCTGCGGGTGGGAGATGCTGTCGCGGGTGCCGGCGGTGGCTCCCCCGCCCGACCCCATCCCTGGCCCCGGCCCCCGCCGGGCTGTCTGTCACCGGCCGCCGGGACACGGCGCTGCCACTTGCCCCGAGCGTGGGAATGGGAGGGCCCAGCCGTTCACATCTCTTGCACGCCGTTTAACGGAATCAATTAGGGAAGACAGACCCTCTGCTTCTCCACCCCCGCACGCCCCCTCCCCTCACTCTTTTTTTTTTTTTTTGTCAGGACTATATACGTCCTAATTATTTCGGTATGGGATGCCAGAGCTGTTTCCTGGATAGATCTGATCATCCTTAAACAAAAAGAGAGGAGGCGCACACGTGGGTTTTGGAGTAAATGTCACTTTCATTTCCAATGCTAGGCGCAGAGCAAGGCACAAAACATTTTTTTACACTTTGACAGGGGGGAGGCGATCTCGTCTCCATCATGTCTTTCTGCTTCAGTAGCTTCCTCAAGGAAACCCTCTCTCAACAGAGAAGCATCTGTGCTTGCGTTTTGAATAGAAGAATAAAAATCGGCCATTACTTTTTTTTTTCTCCCATTTTTGTGCAGCTCCGCCGGGTTCTCAGTAGATATAAATTATTAAGCTTGCCTACACTTCAGTGTAAAATTTTTCCGAAAGCCTACTTTCATAGGATTTGAAATTAACCTCGTTGCTTTGTCTCAGATGCACATAGATGGGGTTTGGGTTGGTTTGTTGCTTTTATGTTGGTTTGAGGTTTTTTTCCTCAGTTCAGTAGTCCACTCTATATCATCAACATCACCGTCTTCATCATCACAACTTCCACCTTTATTTTTAAGGTTACTTCATTGCAATGAATCACTTTGCACAATGAAACTCATGATTAGCTTTCTAATAAAAAATTAAATCATGTATATCCTCTTAGCCCAGTTTAAGGCTGGCTGGTCTGGGTTTCTCTTTATTTATTTATTCAACAGCAATAGTTGCACATGCATTGTTTATCATCAGTACCATGTCCTCTGTGCAGCAGCTGGCTATCCATTATATGCCATCTGACAACTTCATATTTTGGAATAAGTATGCCATTTAATTTCATCCACTCCCACCTTCAGCTGTATAAATATTAGATTCAATAAGCATTACTGACCCTTCTCGAGTTTTACTGTCTCTCGCAGCAGTCTTTCATTTTCACACGTTGTACGATGATCTTGAAGGAGTTTTTACTTTCGGTTATCTAGCTTTATGAAGACCAAAACACTCATACAGCTAGATAACCAAAGATAACAACTCTCTTCCCTCAAATATTTTATTTATTTATTTATTATTTTTTTCAGTCCTTGCTAGAATCCAGAGTTTTTCTGGCAAACAGACATGTTGTTTCCTCCAAGAGCACTGGTGCTGCTTTAAAATGTTCATCCTTTTATGCAAGTGTCTCTGTATGTATGTGCAGCTATGTTGCCTTCAAAGTTTATTCTGAACTTTTTTTTCAGCCAGTAATTTCCGGCAGGGATAGCCAATAATTCGTCTGTTAATACCAGAAAATAAAACCAGCCATTAAGGTGCGTCAAGCTGCGTTAAGAGAGAGGAGCATCCATCCTTTAACAGGCCTCTATTTGCAATGTAAATCGCTTCGTTCTCACGAAAGACTCTCTAGCCTCTATAAAGATGTAAAGCCATCGGCAATTTCCAGCGCAGTGTAAGGAGGAAGAAGAAAAAAAAAATTCCATTTAGTAGAAAGTAACAAGATGATTCGAGGATGCGTCTCTTGATTCCTTTAGAATATGCACGGCATAGATCTCTTTGCCAAATGGTGGCAGCTTGATTGCAAATATCTTGCGTGCAGTGTGTGTTTTAGAAGGGGAAGATCCTCTCTTTCTCGGGGCTCCCAGAGCTGGGGAGAAGAAGACGCGGTCTTACCGGCTGCTGCCGCCCCCGGTCTGAAAGAAGGAGGAAAGGGCCATCATTGGAGGGCTTTCAGTGCCAAAATGCGGGCCAGCCAGGCAAGGTCAAAGGTCCTGGACCGCGGGAGACCAAGGTAATGATGATGTCATGAGAAACCTCAAGTACACACGGCTATTGATATGCATGAGCGACCAGACGCCGGCGCCGGGACCGAGCCCGGTCTCGCCTCCAGCATCGCCGCCTCCGCCGTCCTGGCGCGGGGGATCCGCCCGCAGCTGGCACCTTCCTCCTCCTCGGCAGCGCAGACCGCTTCAACATCCAGAGGCCAGGAGGCAGGACGCTCTCCCCTGGGGCGGGAAGCAGCCTGCCCGGCCCCGGGGAGAGCAGGGGAGCCCCGAGGAGCCCGCGCTCCTCTTCGGGCAGCCCCCGCCGGTGCGCAGCGATGCCGCGGAGGGAGCGGGGCCTGGTACTCAGAGGCCGGGAGCAGGGCTGTGCTACGCAGTGAGTCGATGTGTAATTACATTGACAATTTGCTCTGTCGTAGGGTGTCTGCGGGGAGCTTTTTTTTTTTTTTTTTTTTTTTTTTTTTTTTGTGTGGGGTTTGTTTTTTTTTTTTTGGTTGGCTGGTTTGGGGTTCTGGTTTTGGGGGTTTTTGTTGGATTTCTTTTTTTCTGTTGTTTTGGTTTGGTTTGGGTTTTTGTGTTTTTGTTTGTTTGTTTGTTTGGTGGGTTTTGGTTTGTTTCGTGGTTTGTTTTTTGTTGGGTTTTTTTTGACTCCACATCTCTGTCGTGCTTCGCGCCTGGCGTGATTCGCAGGTATTTACAGCGGGACGGTCCAAGGTGTTTTCCTCTGCCCGTCCATGGGGGAACCTGAGCGCAGCAGATTCAGTGTATTCTGTGGCATCTGTTCCACCTCTTCGCCCTTCTACCCTCCCCCCCTCCCTCCCAGCTTGTGTCTGTGTCTGTGTTAGAATGCAACACAGGTGAACATTGCAGCAACATTTGTTTAAGGCCATGCATCATCACCTGACGAAATGCCTTAATAAAACTGCTGATTTATCGTTTATTTTTATTCACCTCGTACTCAGAGCGAAGAAATGCATGCTGGTGTTACTCATGGAACCAACGAAGGCAAGTCTTTCTAAACTGTTAGGATGTGTTATGTGCAGTTTTAGGATTTAAGCCTCTCAGTTTCCCCTTCCCCACTCCCCCAAAAGAACATTACACTTTGAATTATTTAACAATATAATTTGCGTGCAATTTTTGTTACTCTGAAGTGCAAACTTTAAAGGCCTCCTGAGTAGATGTGATATAATGAACCTTCTTACTGAGATCTACCATATTTTCTTTAGAAATTAAAAAATGCACTTCAACAGCTCCAGTGTGCAGTGGTCAGTATAACACACACACACCAAAAAATTCAGCACACACAGACTACGGACTGCTCTGAACTCCTAAAGGAATCACAAGTTAAAATTCATGCTGTACTCCTCTTCTAAGGTGCATAATATAACACAGCATATCATGCACTATGTTCCTGCATAATTACAGTCAATATGCCACACTGCATTTAAATACATTTTTGTAAACTAACCTGTGTTTGCATAGGTTGCTAATTTTTAGGTGGAATTTATGAATGCATGGAGTCAAACTAAAGTTGTTGTTGCTCTGTGTTGGCTGCAGAGCTTGCTTGTATGATAAAGGAAATGTGTGCTTGTGTGTATACAGGGGAGCCATATGTACATGTCAGTCCAGGTACATGTGTGTGTATGTGTTTGAGCTAAAATATATATATAGATGTATGTAGTTACACTGTAAAATATCAAGTAACCAGCCCATTTTTTATCATAATTACAAAAACGTGAAAACAGGGAAGTAATCTCAGACACTGCCCAAAATTAATACTGTCACCAAGAAGTATCACATAGGCATTGCTAATCTGCCAGTCTTCTAAGTCTCAAATACTGCAGAAATATTACTAATTTATTTCTCCTTCCAGATTCTAAGCCTTTGAAATCAAGCATTTCTTTTTTTAAACAGGTATTATTTATCCTCATATAGACTGCTTTTTTGCAACCAGTGCTTTTTACCTGATAGATGTAAGAGCTCATTGTGCCAGTGTTCTTTGTGGAAAATTCAGAGACTCACACAAAATGGTTAGAATACTTATAATGCTGCATTATGAGTTACTGAACTTCTTCATTACCTCTCAGGCTGTTCAGGCACAACAGGAGCAACTGAATCAGACATCTGGTACATCCCGAGGCACATGATCACTTTGATATTATGTAAAATTCTAATGAGCTTTTCTGAAATGGCAGATAAGCAAAAAGATGTGGTTTTTATGGAAATAGCTAGGGGCAGTAGTGCTGGTGATCAAGCATGTGTTGCATGGGACAGGCTTATGAGCTTATGGATTAAATTCTTTCAGTCAGAGGTATGGAAATTCAAGTACTACTCATGTATGTGTGTGTGTGTGTATGCTTATATAGGTCTCTATGTACATATACAGGTGGATATGTACATATCTGCATATAACCATATTAACACAGATGGATATGTACATGTTAATGCAAGTGCGTCACCAGATGTCACATGTCACCGGATTTACACTTAAATTCAAGGTATATTATTACAAATGGGTATTTCCAGAGATGTAAGGTGTACCTTCAAAACACCAAGCCCTGTTCTCACAACCACCTCACTTACACTCTGACTTGGGAAGTAACTGCAATACACACGTTTTGTTGATTACTCATTGGAGCATGTCAAAAGAGCCAACATGATGGTTATGATGTAGCTGATCATTAGCCGTATTACAGATTACATTTTCTAGCCCTTAGCCTTAAAATCGTTGGGTGTCCATTAAGTATTTGTTTATTCTGAACATTACAAAAATGTATGCAGCGGTTTAAGGCACATTTCCAAGACTTCAATGTTGCCTAGCATGTGGAAAGTTTAAGTAATGCACAGTTCTGAAAATTCTGCCCAAAACATCACCTGAATTGTCAAAACCAGCAGTTAACACAGCCTGCTCTCTTCTAGTTTACATAATTGAACAAAACTTATTTGTTCCAAAGTCACTGTAGAAACATCAGCCTGTTGGAAGACATGGAATACAAACACTGACTTTTTCCTCCTAGTTGCCTAATAAATTCCCACTAATGGCCTGCAGATTAGTATGTGATTGCCATGCTTGCTTTCTAATCTTTTTATAGGTCTCTAGACAGCTGTGACATAAAGAAGAAATATCCTGCATGGATTTTTTAAGAATAAACAGTCTCTACTGACTTTAAAGGGGAATGCTTATGATTCTCTAATTATTGCAATCAGACCCCCATCCTATCTCCAGCATCCCCACCTTCTGTGTGGAAGACACACAGGAATGTGTCTTAAGCTGCTGTGAGGTACCTAAGAGGGCGCAGTGTTACATAAATTCCATTTTCATACTAAATTATGGCAGAATTCATGTACAGTCAAACCACCATGGCATGCCAGTACAGCCCAGTCCAATTCTCCTTGTAGAGCAGCATCCCTTTCCTCCCAGCCAGGTAAGTCACTTGACTGTCTTGCCTTCCAATAAAGGTGCCCCATCTTTTCTTTTGTGGTCACTATTTCATTTGATGACAACTGCAGACTATACTTCTGTTATGTTAAACCTATAGTATGAAAAGGGATACCTACTAAAAATTACTAACTAAAAAAAGTCAGATTATCAAGAATTCAGTCTCAGAAAAAAATACATTATCAAACCTGCACACAGTCAGTGATCACACGTGGAAACACTGTGTGCTGTTAAAGAAGATATATTCGTATCTGTAGGTGATGCATGTCATTGTCTGACTTTTATTAAACATACAAACAAACAAATTACCGTTTCTTGTCGTGATTTCACTACCTGTGGTATGTCTGCGTTGTCTAAACCTGAAAAATAGCCCCCCCCAAAAAACCAAAGGATCACAATTTAAACACTTTCAGTGTTTGATTCTTGTTCCAGAAATGCATGTGAATGGGTAAACCTATGTGTTTAGAAGGCACTGAGTATATTAACTTCCAAGATTATTAGATAAATCATTAAAACGCTTGACTCTAGGTTAAATGGGGAAATAACTAGCCACATTTCCTGAAGATGATCTAATATGACAGAAAACAGATATGAGTGATGTCCTCCTGTATCTGCAGGGTTAAATATGGTAATCAATATTTACAGGAAATCATATGACTAATGCGCATTTTTAAAATTTTATTGTTATTTCTGGAGAATTATGCTTAAAAATAAAAGGCTAAAAATATTATTTGAGGCTGCAGAATAGAAGTGACCAAAATTATAGACGCAGATCTATGATTTGCATACTGTAAGCTGCCAGTTACTTAATAAAGGATGGAGGCTCCACCTAGCCTTCAGTTCAAAACATGCAAAACATACTAAGCCTGCCTTTCCCCACTGGATTTCCCAGCCTTTCCAGACCTATGGTGTGCTGAAACCTGAATTACCAGGAAGGCATGGTCTCTATTTACAGCCTCGAAAGCTTATCAAGGGCCGCAGGGTTAAATAAATACAACATAGGCCGCTCACTTTCATTGCATTGTATCCAATAGAGCAGCCTTAGCTGAAAGAAAAAATTAAATAAATTCTTATTATTATTTCCCAGGGAGCAACAGTGTTCTTGGATGTTACAATGAAGCAGTTTCACCTGCTCCACGGACTGGTGTGGACTGGGGTCGTTGAAGGATTTTGACCACTTTTTTGGTGGATAGAGAGGTGCAAGGGGACACTCCTGGGCCATGGTGAGCAGCCGGGCTGCACCCTTCTGCCAGGTACGCTCCTGAGCTGAGCCATTTTGGCCAGGATGGATTTGGAGAACCCGGGAAGTGATGGCTGCTTGTTCCGAGTGATCCACTACGTGGAAGGCGCTGGATGAACAAACTGCTGCGAGCAATCCCTTCCACCTCGACCAGCTGCAAGATATGCCTCCAACTTCTCTCCTTCCCCCTCCTTTTTTTTTCTGCCCATTTCCCTCCCCCCTTTATGTTTTTTTCTTCAATTTTTTTTTAAGTTTTTTATTGTTGTTGTTTGGTTGTTTTTTTAAGCTCAACTATGTAAAGGCCTGTTATACTTCAGCCCTGTGACTGTTTGTTCCTGTGCCTGCACTACTGCACACCTTTCGAGGGCACCCAGGCATTGCAAAAAAAAGCTCCCTCAGAAGCCGCAGCTTGGCAACTGCTGGTAGTCTGCCAGATAATTAACATTTCCCGCTACCAAATACAGCTCCACGACCAACAGGTTTATATTCAGACACACAAAACCAGCTCACCGGCATAAACCGCTGTGTCCAGTCATAAACCCTCCCTTGTTAATCAAATGTCCCCTGCCAGGAGCAAGAGGAAGTGGCCAGATCTCCGTTGGGAAGACCCTGTCTGACTACCCGGGGAGAGGTGGCCTCCGCGGGCTCACAGGGATCCGGGAAACCTCCACCTGCCCGGAGCTCAGCATCCCAAATTTTGCCGGGAATTCAGGACACCGACACACATACATAAACACTTGCGGTACTTACATTTCTTCGCCTTTATCAGGGAAAGATGTGACCCCAGATCTAGGGGGAAAGCTGAGCCAACGGTGACAAACAAATATCCCCACGGCCAAGGCCCCTCAGAGCAGAGAAAGCTCTTTCAATTTTCCAGAAATTCATGTCTTTCCCCTCGCCATCCCTATTTAAAAGTGCTGCTTAGCTCCACGGTGTTATTCTTGTTCCAACGACTCTAAAAGAGTTAGAAATGTTCCATCCAGAAAAACAGGAGAGAAACACAGAAAGTTGGCTTGGGTTTGCCATTATGTTTTTTTTTTTTTTTCTGCAGTGCTTCCTATGCCCCGGAGTAGAAAGTGAACTGTTGTATGTGAGGCTCTGCAAGTTTTTGGGGGGAGTTGGCAAAGGTCTAGTCCAGCCCTCTCTGCTGAGGAGGACGTGCTCTGAAATTCAAGCAATTTCCCCAATGCTTTTGTTGCTGATGAACTGAAGCCCTATTGTTCATCCATTGCCACGGTCTTTTTCAGTTCCTATTATAGGTTATATGTTGCCAGAGATAATGAATTTGCACCAAAACTTGTCATAGTCCCATTTTGACAGACGGAACAAATTAGAAATGTCTAGTGTAAAGAAGAGCAATGGTTACCTTTTCCTAGAGAAGAAGGGAAGCTCGCATTTCTTTGGAAACTTAGGAAAAAAAAAAAAAAGTGAAGCAAAAGGTCCAGTTTTCTAAGGTGTTTTCTTTCAGTTAAATTCCAGAAGAAGAGTTTCATCCGAGTCTTGTTTTTGGAAGGCACTGCCATTTTGTGCAACTTTTGTCCAAACCAAGCAGCCGGTCAACAGCAGGAAAAAAAAAAAAAAAAAAAGAAAAAAAAACTGTAAAAAAATAACCTTCTCCCATCCCTGCTGTCATGCGAACTTGTAGCGTGACCTCTCGTCGCTGGAAGGAGGGTGTCCTAAAGCGCTGGCCGTTCCTTCTATCCCCACTCATCCATCGCTCTGGGTTTGGAAACAGCGTGAAAGCGCCCGTAAAAGCCCCGGCTAGGTTTTAGGGCGCAGGGGGCGGGTAGGGAGAAGTTTAGGTGTGCGCCGGAGTGGGAGGTGTGCAGAGAGGAAGGGATGGAGGCAGGGATGGAGGAGGGATAGAAGGAGAAAGGTGCAGGGCGAGGGGGCGGCAGGATGGTTCGTTCCTACCCCAGCCCCCGCCTGGGGGGCGTGTGGGGTGTGACGCCCGGGGGGCGTGTGGGGCGTTGTCGTGTTGGCCCCTCACTGTGAGTCGGCTGTACACGGCGCCGCGAGTGGGCAGTTGTCAAGGAGTGTGAGTATGTGTGTGGGGAGAGGGCTGAGAGGGGCAGGGGAGGGCGGGGAGAGGGGCGACGCTCAAAAATTAATAAATATATGTATATATACACGCTACAGACGCGCACACACAGACAATTATATTTTTATGTATATATATATAATGTGTGTGTGTTTGTGCGTGTGTGTGTTTGTGTGTATGTATATGATGTCAGATGTGTGTCCTGCTCGGAGCGCGAGGCTCCAGGGAGCGGGAAGCAGCTTCGCTGTCTCCGGGCACGGATTTCCGCGGAGTGTTTCTGCGGAGAGATCCCTACCGCAGCCCCGGGCAGCCGGGCATCCCCTGCCGGCACAGCCCCCGGCGATCCGGCCGACAAAGAGAGCTCTGTGAGGACCGAAACGCCAGTCCCGACAGAACCGAAGGAATTTAGCACGAACCCCTTTAAAACAACAACAACAACAACAACAACAACAAAAGATTTATAAAAGTCGACACTGCTAACCCGGTCAGAAAAACGCTCGCGTTTCCGCTTCCTGGCGAGGGCATTGAAGATTAGTTGAAATGCTTGAATGGAGGAGCGGTGAGTGAGTGTGCGGGTGTGCAGCCCTAGGAACGGCTGTGCCAAGGTCCACAGAGAGGCTCTGGAACAGCTCACAGCAGGCTGACAAATGAGTTAATAACGTGAGCAGCAAAGGAGAGAAATTCGGGTCCTAACAGAGAACTTCCCTCTCATCCTGCCGCCTCGCCGGCTGAAGTTCTGAAAGTTCTCCCAAACATCATGATACACTGCAGAGTCTCCAGCAGAAGCGGTGGAAAGGAAGGAGGAGCACACACCGCTCTCACCCACCACCTACTACCACCGTATGCTCATCGATTCCCCGTTCACACCACGCTTCCTCCCGGTGGAGGGAGGGGGAGATCACGGCAAAGCCAGGAGAGCGGCTTGGACTTGCAGAACAGACAGGCGGGGACTGAGACTCGAGATGAGGACTGCAGCCACCCACTCCTCCAGCCGCCCGCCTCTCCTCCCTCCCTCCCTGTCTCCGAGTCCCGTACCCGCGGTTCGCTGCGGAACAGCGCCCGGATGGATGCTGCGACTCCGCTGGCTCAACGCTCCTCTGTCATGCAATGTTTTGGGGAGGGAGTAGAGAAATTTCTATTTCCCGCTCGTCTCCTGATGCAAAGAAGCGGCAAATAACGTCTAACTAAAAAAAAAAAAAAAAAAAAGAGACAGGGCAGGACGGACTCGCCGGTCCTGCGGGAAGGTGGGCTTTCTTTTGGGGGCGAGCGTTGGGGCAGGCAGCGCTGCTGTTGCTGCTGCTGCTGCCAGAGCCTATTTCATATGGCAGAGCGCGGCCAGGAGCCTGCACGGCCGTGGAGCATCTCAGTGGCTGCGCCCCTGCCCCGCGTCCTCCATCCCCACTTCACGTTCAAGGTTTAGCGGAGAGGTCACGTCCACTGACGTCAGCTGAAGCCGTACGGCACGTCCGTCTGCATTTACATACATCAAGGAAATTAGGGCATAAAAAAATAGGAAAAAAATAGAATATGGAAATCCCCCTGCTCCGAGAAGAGACTGCAGATTCTGGGAGTGATCGTCCCTATTTGCAGAAGATCCTAATTAACGGAACAAAAAACTGGGCCTCCCTTTTCTAAACATCATCATCATCCACAGCAAAATAAACATTCTCGAAATGAGCGATCGGAACCGGGCTGCGGCGCGATCTGGGAGCGGGCGGCCCCGTTGTGAATGCAGGGCTCCACCGCTGCACCATTCTCATCTCCTCCTCCTCCAGCTCCTGTTGGCTCCAGCGTGTATTACTTTTAATACTGATGCATATGTAAAGGTATATTTGCATTGTTTTTAATTTACTGAAAGTTGCAGCCTATCGCTTTTCCTTTGCCCTCTTTTATCTATCTGTTTAAATATCTTTCCTTTCCCCTTCCCCCCCATTCCCCCGGTTTTTGGCGAGATTCTGCAGTGTGTCTCTATATACAGTTTCCTCCATGCTTCTGTTTGTATAAGGTTACAGACTGTGTACAGTGCTAATACTACAAATCAAGGTGCACAAGATGCTTATTGGGCCTTAAGAAGGGAGGAGGATCTTATTGCCCTACTCGGCTATCACATCGCTGGCTTGAAACTGGGAGTTTGCCTAATTAAGTTCATATTAGGAAACAAATTTTAAAAGCCACCAACACCCCCGCTCCTGCTCCGTTTAAGGGTATAAAGAGATACAGATAATGCGTGTAAGGGGACTCTTTAAATGGATTTATAATATCTCATTGCTGTCTTATGACCCATAAACACACTTATATCTGCCTTGGTTTCAGGAATCGTTTATTTCAAAATCTTCTCTTAAAATGTGCAGAGCCAGGTACGGAGAGCTTTCTCTGAGGAAGACATTTTGTATTTTCTTTCTTAGGTGCTGCATTATTAAATATATTACGCCTCGTTTTAACATGCGCAGCCTTAAATCCACTACATAATTCTTAATAGAAAAACCAGCTTTTTAGATGTTATTTGACAATATGCTCGTAGCCTTATGCTTGCTTTACCCGAAAAACCACAGGCCTTGAATTATATGAAAAATATTGTTAGCATATTTCGATTTAGCTTAATGGGTAACAATAAGAAAGAAGAGTAGCAATAAGTGTAGTTTAAATATGATTAAATCCAGAAGATTGCTCTGTTTTTATAGTCCAGAAATGTTATATTTTTAAACGAGAAACCTTATTTCCCTAAGAAACGACGGGGGGGAAAAAAAAAAGCTCAAGTGCATGGATAGATAATTATTACACTATGAATTACTCACCTGCATGGATGTATCAGGCAAAAGTTAGCCTTCTCCAAAGACTGACATGCATGTATTTTTTTTAAATAAAGAGTGGAGTGTCTGTGTTTCTCAGTGCCTGTTTCACCACAAGTATACTTTAATTCTTTGTAATTTCTTACGGTATTCCCAGCGCTGCCTCTCCTTCCAGTTTTACGAGCTCTACGCTGATATGCCATCCAGTAAAAAGTGGTCAGATGGCTATACGTAAAATATTTAAAGAAATAATACCATCCCAAAACGGAAATCGTCACGGTCATCCCTTAGGTTAGCTCTTACCTTACTACATCTAGCAGCAATTAATTAGGAAAGTACTATTTTTACACATTTTTATCAACAGCGGGTGCCGGGGACTCCCGGCCCTCTGGCGCAACCTGACCACCGCCCCTCCCTGTCCCTTTTAATTAGCGCTCGTGCAGTTGTCGCTCCCTTGCGGACCCGCATTAGCGTGTGCGGGGAGGCGGGAGGAGGTGAGAGCGGGTCAGTCTATCTTTCCGTTCCCGCAGCGCATCCCGCATCATTCCCTCCCTTCCCGCCCCCTCCCCGGTGCCTTACCCCGCGCCTCGCCGCAGCTACGACGGGACAGGGGTGGCAGCCGTCTGCGCCCCCGGAGCACCCCCCAGGCCGGGCTGCCGGGGGTCCGCCTCGCAGCATCCCTCCCCCCGGCTCCCCTCCTCGCCCCGCGTTACTGCGCGGTGGCCCCGCGAATCACAGCAGCGGCTTTTGAACAAGCCCCGGGGGTGGAGGGGTTGGCAGCGCGCCCCTCCCCCCCCGCCTGCGCCGCTGCCTGTGGCACGAGCAGCGTGGGGAGAGCTGCATGTCCCCCCCCCCCCACCGCAGACACTTGCCACTTGAACATGACGGGGGAAATAGGAACAATAAATGTCACCCCCGTTCTCCCCCGCCCCCGCGCCCACGCGTTACCTAATATCGGCCTTTTACTGCTAAAAATACGAGTCTGCACCGGTCGTCCTGGGTGATCGAAATACCATCAAAGTAGGCGATTTCTTGGATTTTCGTCCACGGATAGACAAACGAATACATAACAGCATTAATAATGCTCAGATTTCGGGTGGTCGCTGCAGCCACGGAGATGAGACAGGGCGCCGGGTTGAACATAAATAAATGCATGAAAAAAATCCATTTCCACATCTTCTCATTATTTTTCCCCACCATTTTTTTGGAGGATTTTTTCCCCATCAGTACTTTTAGTAACTATCGTCCTCTAAACCCAGTATTCATCATTTCACACTTGAATTTTCTCCCTTGACTCTTCATCCTTATCTTCTTATCATATATGTAAATAATCCGAACTGCTCATGGCTGTACATGTGAAAATTATTTTTTAGAAAAGTGGAGGTGCAGATACTGTGGATATAGTAGAAGGTATTTTTAAAGTATTTTCTTTTAATTACTCTCTTTTTCCTTTTTTTATTATTTTTTTTTCTACAGGACTTAGATATTGAAATGAAAACATGTAGAACGATGAAGAGATAATATTAGGTGAAGTAACGGAAATTTGGCGGGAGAAAAATATTTAATTTTTTTTCAGGAAGGGAAAAAATAAATTTAGAGCTTTCTCTGTACACACACACACACACACAATCTAATTCCTTACCTAAAAGCTTCCAGTGCGAATGCACCCTCACAGTGCATCTCCTTTGGAAATAATAATAATAATAATAATAATAATAATAATAAGCCAATGCCCTTTCTTTTCTGGTTAAGTACATCTCTCCTTATTAGAGGTACAGAGGCAGAAACCGAGAGGAGAGGCAGGAGAAGAGGGGGCGAAAACTACAATACTTTCATCCGTACTTCAAATAATCGCTAAATGTTAAGGTTTCCAGAAGCTCAGCAAACTCTTTGTTAAGGATGTTTTGGCGAGCATGCAGAAAGCCAACTTCAGCTCCAGCCCGGGGTGAGTGGATAGAACAACCGAATCTCCAGGCACGGAGAGGTTTGGCTTTCAGCACCAGCTGAAGGGAGATGATCCCCATTTTTGCGACGTTTCTTCTGCTCTTTTATTTTCGTAGCCAGCTTATACCTAGGCGAAAAATAACCCATCGTAAAGACAAGGCTTGAAATGCACGCTCTTTTCCATAAATATGGTCTCGCGGAAAGGAGTGAACTTGCTTTTTGCCTTTTTTTTTTTTTTTTATTCTCTTTGGTGTGATTTTTTCTTTATTTGTTTCATTGATTTGTTTTGTTTTTAAATTCACTCTGCAGGTGTGGAGTTTATGTTCTGTCACCATCCTCCCTGTCCCGTTTGTAACCCCTCGGCAGGACGTACTCCGCTTCTGAGCAGGGAAAAAAAGCGGGAAGGAGGTGGGAGCGACACCCCTTTCCTCCATGGGGCCTTTCCCCACCCGGTGCCGCTCAGTGTCCGGTCCAGATGCCACGGAGGGCTCCGGAATCCGTCCTCGCCGTGCACGGCACCGGTGCCGGCGGCGGGGGAACAGCGGCACCTGCCGGTGCCCGCGGGCAGGACCCGCACCGAGCGCGATCTCCGCTGTCTCCCGGCTCCTCCTAATGCTCTCCAAATGCTACCCCTCGCCGTCGCGTCTGGGCTGTGCTCCACCAAATAATAATAATAATAATTATATATATAAATATATATATACAGAGAGAGAGAGAGAGAGAAATCTGTGGGAATAAGGATGCTCTGCAGGTAGAGCATTCCTCGGGTGACATGCAGCACCCTCTGCCCTCCACCCCGTCTGAATTCCTCGCTCTCGTTCCCACTGGGGCGGGGTGTGTGTGTGTGAAATTGTCGTCCCCTCATCCCCCCACTTGCTTCGCATGTTAATTGCCGGGATCAAAATACGGTCTCAGTCTGTGGGTGCTTGTTTGATGAGAAGCCGGGCTTGCGAAACGCAGGGGCCGGGGAGGGGACGCTGCGATATCCCAGAGAACGGTAATATTTCGATATTCCTCCCTGCAGAATGGCCCCTCGTTATTTATTGAATTTTTACCAGTGCTGTCTGGAAAGACCTTTTTCTTGGAAGCATTTGTTAGCTAGTCACAGGAGTCTTTTATCTTCCCGCTATTCTCCCTTCGTCTTTTAATAAAAGTAATGAAACCGAAAGGTTTGATGTTAAGGAAATGCAGTTTTTACGTGCGGGAATGGTGGTGAAGAGTTCTAATCGCGGTAGGCAGTCAGGAGGAAGACGCACTCCCGAGAAACTGGAGGTTACGTTTGGTTGGATGAACCGCTCCTTCTTTTTTCCTTTTTTTTTTTCTTTTTTTTTTTTTTTTTTTTTTTTTTTTTTGTTTATTTGCCGAGCTTCCTCCATTTTGGTGTGTTTTAATAATAAATTTTTCTTTTTTCCTTTTTTTTTTTCTTTTTTTTTTTTTTTTTAATACTTTTGTTAGTTCATTAGCCGAGCTTCCTCCAAGTTGGTGTGATTCAATAATAAATTTTCCTGATCTCCTTCTAGGAATTTTTCGTTTTCTCGTATCTCAACAGACTGCAGGCGGGTAGAAGAATAACTCGGCTGTCTCTCAGAGGACCTTTCTTCTGCACCTTCAGGAGATCATTTCTTCTTCTCCGACAAAAAATAATAAGAATGTGATTTTTATTTTTCAGTAAGAAAAGGCTGTGGGCGCACGGCCATCAAATATTTAAATTTAAAAGTGGCGTGGCTGCTACATGCGGTTAAAAAAGCATGCGTGACGTGCCTGCTTCTCGCGTGTTTTAGCTGTCGTACTGCTGGTACCGATGTGTACCAGCGATGGGCACGGAGACAAACACACGGAAAGCCGGTTGCATCTCTCAGGTAGTAAAACCCGAGCATAAATTAGTCCTCCGCTCACCAGGATAACAATTTCGAGGTGCCCTTCTGAGCAAAGGCATCTCAGCCCAAGGACCGAGCAGATTATCTGAACGCCAGTCTTGCTCGGGCCGGTGGAAAAATAAGGATTAAAAGCAACGACAGAACCCCGACGGGCTGCGGAGGTTGTAGGGGAGGAGACACGGCGGCGACCTTTGTCCGCCTGTCCTTCTGGTAAGGATGTTGGCTTTCTGTTCTAGTAACATCCGGAACAGCCGAGGACTATTTTGACACTCATCCTTGCCCTGGACACCATGTCGCCGTCCCCGTCCCACTCCCCGCCTGGCGGTGCCGCATCTCCCCGCCGCACCGCGCCCTGCGGACGGACGGATGGATAGACAGACGGCACTACTGGTGCCGGTTCCCACGCTGCCGGAGCACCCACCCCCCGAGCCGGGACCGCTGCATCCTCCTTAAAACGTCGCCGTTTTGATGCTTGTTGACAAAAAGTTTCAGAGCTCTCCCAGCGCAAACCCCCGCCTTGGGTATCGGGGGGAGGGCTTGCGAGGCAACCTCCCCGTTGAGTCGAGCAGGGCAAGCACGCAGAGCCCCTTGCCCTGCCAGCCCCCTCCTGCTCCTGTTTTCTTCTCCACCTTTTCAGTAGCAACAAGGGATTCAAGAAACGGAGCTAAGGATGCGCGGCGGATGCCAGTCCTCTGTTCAGCCGCCACGCTGCAGGACCTGGGGAGGTCTGTCCAGGGAGCGCGGTTGTACGGGGGATAGAGGGCCGTCACGCCATCTGCCCTTATATTTACAGAACCTCAATTTTACCCCTCTTTCACATCCCCAAAAGGACGCTGGGAGGGAGAAGACAGACCTGTATCTTGTCCTCTCGCACAGGCCCATACCCTTTCCAGTACAGACGGTTACTCCCCAAACAGTCGCTGGAATATGACTCATCACCTCACCCACCCCACTGATTTTGATTTCATCCCGAGGGGCATTCGTCAGGCCTGTCCCCGCTCCCTAAACCCCCGTGCCTGTGCAGTACGATGCTCAGGGTGCAGGAAGTGCCGTGCGGGTGCCACACGAACACCCGCGCGTGTGTGTAGGTGTTTAACGAGCCCATGGGCAAACCCACATCAGCTGATCAGGTTTGAAATCCAATAGCTTCCCCTCACGTGAATTAGATTTGTCATTGACGGTAAGAAAGTAGGGAGCAGGAGGGTGTCAAGAACAAAAGAGAGCGGCGAAGGACTCCCGCGTCCCTAAAGGGACGCCTTCCCGCCTAGCTCCTCTCTTTCCACTCGGCTCGGACCCCAACTCATAACCTCCCTCGTTATTACAAGAGGCCGAGAGATGAAGGTCCGAGAGGGGTCGGGGCACAAGGGGAAATCCCTGCCTCGCTCCCAACGCCGGACAAGCCTCTCCAGCCTCGGGGTGAGACGGCACGGCCGGACTGTACCAAGCTCCCCCCCCCGTCCCTTCCTGGAGACACCCTCGTTCCGTACTCACCCCGTTCCCTCCTCTCCGCGCTCCGCAGCCGCCTGCTCTGCACCGTCACTCGTAAGCAGCCCGGTAGAGGCTTCTCCAGCCCCACTCGAACGGGGGGGAAGAAGGGAAGAGGCGGCAGAGGGACGGGGGGGGGGAGGTTGGTGGTGGAGGGAGGGCGGCGGCCACGAATGCTGCCCCACATCGGACTACGACGTGGCTCCCTCCCCGCTTTTCGCCCCGGTATTTCCCACTCACTTATCTCCTCCGCTCCCGCCTCAAGGCAGACAGCCTTGGGGGACGAGGACAGGTCTTTTGGGAGGGCCCTCCCTTCTTCAGGGTCTCGGCCAGGCAGGGTGAGGGGTTGAGGTTCAGCCTGTGGGGCTCAGCGGGGCTCGAGTTTGGGGCTGCTCGCGTCCCACGCCGAGAGCGGGGCTGTCGGGTCTCGAGTGCGTTGGCAGCTGGGGTGGGCAAGTCCCTCCGCGCACCACGCATCGCCCCCCCCGCCGCCTCTTGTTGTTATCATCACTATTCCTACTGCTGGTTAATTTAAGGGGCCTCTGCGAACGGAGGCCGACGGCGGGCACGGGGGAAAGCGGCTTCTCGGCGAAGGTGGGCTCTACCGGCGGGCAGCATCCCAGGGGGGCGGTGGGCTCGGACAGAAGGTGTCTGTGTCTGTGCATCGTTGTTGGAGCGCCAGCGGTACCCGGGGGTCGGTGAGAGGCACCTGCCGCGTTACCAGGGCACCACATCTGTGTCCGAGCGGCTGGGGTCGGGGGTCTCGTCACAGACCCCCTCGAAACTTCCACTGCTACAGATATACCGATTGCTCCACTCATTCCTTGGCCGGTTTTTGGCAATTTTCTCTCAAAGGTTTGTCGAAAGTTTTTGGCATCGGTACCCGGCAGGTACAATCCCACGGTAGTGACTGCGACATCCGTCACGACTTCCGCACGATTTGCATGCCAGAGATGGCACCATTCTAAACTTTCTTCCCTCTCTAGTGTAAATGAGGGCAAAATATTATTTGCCATATAGTTATTTGGAGAAGAGTGCATCCATCAGGCTGTGGTTTCTATGGGGTTATGCAAGTTTCGTGTTTAAACAGAGTGAAAATGAGCCAATACTAATATTTGTCAACGTGTTTCAGGATGTTCATACCTTATATTTACTATATACCAAACCCCCAAAAAATGTAATGAGAGGTTGTGTTAATAATATCGAATTAAATTAATAATAATTACAGTATGCTTAAAACCAGATTGTGCTAAAAGGAAAATAAATATTTGATTCTTTGGCATAAACAACAAAAAAAAGCATTTTAAACATTCTATATTGTGTTCACAAATTTTCTTTAGTTTCTAACCATTTTGGTTGTATACAAAATGATTAATATAATAAATAAAACTAGGTAAGCCAGACTACGTTGCGAATTGCTATTATTTAAATTATTAAAATAAAATCCTTGGATTAATGTTCATTCCAACAACTGTGGAAATATTCTCCTTTTAATTTACTTATTTTCAAAACAGAAACTAAAATATATTAGAGCTGACTTCATTTCATAGTAAGAAGAGTTCGTATTAGAACAACTGTCTGCATATCCTTGCTGTAATGTGCCACTACCTGAAGCAGATAAAAATGAACAAGGAAGCTCCTGAATTTGCAGTTTTTTTTCCTTGCCCTCTTTATAACTGCTGCTACTATACTCGTTTTCTCGTATGGATCATCCATTTTCTGGTGCTACATCTTTCCAGACACACTCACACTCAGGTTTATTCTTCTTCAGTAGTTCCTAGATATACTGACAACGTCAGCTTTTTTTTTTTTTTTAGTAGGCTTTCTTAAAAGTTGCTTTCAACTTCAGAAAACAGCTAAGCTCTTTCTGGGCAGGTCAGCTCCAGTGATATTAGGCATCAGCTTCTGTGGACCTCTAAGAATTCACGCAGGATAAAAAGTGAATTATTAGACGTGAAATCATCATCAAATTGGTTCTAAAGCCATTGAAATTGGTGCAACTGATTTTTAGCGGAGGAGAATTTGGCTCAGTTGTTCAAGTTACAAGAATGTGTGGCTGCTTGTTTTAAAATGCAGCTCTCAAATTCACCTCTTGTTAAACTTACATATAAATACACGGCAGGTAAAGACAAGCTATATCCAGATTTTTCAAAGTAATTTAAGGGGGGCAGAGGAATCTGATCAACTTAAAATTGTTTACTCTCAAATTTATTAGTGTTCCAGCCGTGCAGCTGTACGGAACATAATTATCAGACGAAAAAGTCTTGCCAAGAGCCTGAAGCCTTACAATAGGGGATGAAACACTTAAAATCCTGCTTAATTATTCTGGCCAAATGAAATGTTTAATTGTATTTCCGTTTTTCCTCTAATGATTTTCTCTCCCCAGAACTCTCACCGCGAATAATACACCTGCATTGCTGAGCAAAACAGTAGGCCACTCTGAAAACTACCTGTCCAAACAGTGAGAGATGGGATCGGGATACTCGGTAGGTCCATGGCACTCCCTGAAGAGAATTCGGCTTTGAACAGGACACACTTCATCCTCCTCTTCACCAGGCAAAATTACTTCAACTATATCATAAGTATTAAATGTATTTTTTTGTTTTAGTTATTTGAACAACTTAAGGTAGACTTTAGTCCTGCTGCTGCTATTCAGTCAAAACTTCCGTTAGGGGAGGGAACATTTTTCCAGGCGAAGAACTGAGGACGGTCTCAAAAACGAGAACAGAAAGTTTGCTGCGTTCTTTGGATTTTTTTTTTTTAAAGTCCGAGTGGTGTGTTATTATAAAAGTGTGTCTAGGTAATAAAACGAGAACTTCTGAGAACTTCTTAACATGTTCTGGCTGGGCAGGTTTGACCCGAAGTCTTTAAAATTGGGTAACATCTCCCTCCCAAACTATCCTGTGGTCCTATGATTCCACGATTCTGAGATTCTGTGATTCTAAGATCGGAAAATTTGGACCCACGCGGGACGCCCACGGCGGGAGGGACACGGTGATATCCACGTGGTTTCTGTGTGGGTGAGGAAGGGGAGCTGTGAGCCCGTCCGACTTCAAAAACGAGGTAGGGGTTTCCCTGTTGAGAAGGTACCAACTGGCTCATTCCAATACGGCATGTGAGGATGGGAGGAGCATAAGGCGGTTCTTCCCTGAGTCCGCCGACCCATTTCAGCTGGGATCGTTATTTCCATTGGAGGAAAACGAAAAGTTACATGAATTGCCTCAGTTACTCTTTTAATGTGTGTGTGTGTGTGTGTATGTGTATATTTTCCAGGCAAGTGTAGGAATAACTGGATAAATTTTCAAAAAAGATCACTATTTTCTCTCTCCCCCTCCCCTCCCCCCCCCTATCCCCTCCC